ATTATGGTTCCTGCAACTAGGTACAATACATGTTTCGTTCCACACATCACTATGTTAAAATAGAAAAATTAATGACTTTTTTGATATATTTTGCTATATTTTGTAATACATACATTTTATTTCTAAATATCTAAGACATTGTATATTTATTTGAAGAAGTGCAAGCGCTTTTTCTAAAATAAGAAAATTCAATTATAATAATAGTGACGTGAAATTATTATAATTCAAAACTACAATTGAAGTACGGCACGAGTTTCCGTTATTCACTCACACTAGAATTTTGCAGCCGTCATTATCTCACCAAGTGTCATGATTTAGGAGGATAAGACCGACCAAAATCGCAAAAAAATTGTTGACCCTATAACTAAGGACCACCGAATGTACATGCGTTCATGATGACGTTTTTATTTTGTTCTTACTGCAAGCTTTTTTAAGTTCACAAAATCAATTTTTGCTTATGCTAGTTTTCATGATCTAATTACTATACTGCGTTTGTCTGTGCAAAATAAAAATTATCTGCATCAATTGTGAGAAACAGTAGCCAGTTAGAAGTGTCTTTCTTTCTATTACAATCGTAATAAATTAAGAATGATGCTTCGGCATTCTCGAATTCCTTCAATTTTTCTACCGTTCTATACTTTTTCTACTCAATTTTGCCATAAATGTATAAAATGCGCAGTCCAATAATTACTAACGCTATGAGTTTGCGTTCAAGTCCGTAGTCTATTAACTAAATAATTTTTACTAAAATTGTTCTACTTTACTTATAGTGTTACAGTCTTATATATTAAAACTAAAATTATCATCTATGTTTCCCAAAATTGATAAACAAAAGCCTCGGACGTTGAGTTTCGAAAAGATTCTCAAACATTGTGTTATTTTTCCATTGAAATAAAGGACCGTTTAATTACTGTACGCTGCCACGTAATTACCACGTAGTTACCTATTACTGAACTTAATAGATACAAGCTTGGTCCATGAAAATCATTGCAGAATTTCGATTACCGCGCGAAAATCGTTTAACCAAACCTTCGATTATCCTGCTGATATTATCCAGCAAGAATACTTCGGATATGGCCTCTTTCGATTTGAATAAAACTTAGGTTGATACTACCACGTCTGTCATAAACATTGCTGCAACGGTAACTGCGCATTAGACTGCTAACTTCCAAATCAATGTGTGCAAAGTTTGTAAAAACTCGAGTGTGGCAGCTGAAGAATAGCAGACTTTCAACATTTTATCCTGCGTTCGAACTCGTATATCATAAAAATTTCATTCTCGAAACCTGTTTTTCTTGGGCTACTTATTCTATATTTATTAACAATAAATATTAATTAGAATACATTCTACAATACACCTTGATTAGAATATATTTCCTAATACACTTTAATTGGAATATATTTTCTGGTACGCTTTAATGAAAATAGATTACTGAATCCACTTTAATCGAAATACATTTCTTAATACAATTTAATAATGTATATCGCTCAATTACATTGATTTGTATCATAGATTTTGGAATTATGCACATTTGAGTGCTGTATATTGCGCGCGTGCGCGATACTAATTTTAAACACTCTATTGTGAACCGCGTGAACGCACATTTAGAATAAAAATGTATACAGTCCCTTCGGTCAGAACAGTTAAACCATACTTCGATAAAATAACGTAGATCGTTTTGTATTTGAGCCGTTTATTTTGAAAGTGGCATAAGTCACTTTGTTTTTAAGTCGATATATTTAAGGGTTTGCGTTTTAACACGTTTAAAAATATGGATGCTAACTTTTGAGAAGATTTACTTGTATCTGTTATCTCAGGATACTGATATTTTTCTCAGTATAAATAATTTCGTATAAATATTTAAAAAATCACCACTTTTCATTACGGTAAAGTGACTTGAGCCACTTTCAAAATAAATAGTTTAGAAAAATGGCTGACATATATTGATTTTGTCCGACATATTTTACTGAAGTGATGTTTTGAAAGGACAGTGATTTACTAAAATTGTTGAATAAATTACATATATAATAATAATTTATACCATGAACATATTTAATATAATGGTTTGATACAAGTATTTTTTATTTTAATATTCATAAAATACAAAAATAATTAGTACATTTTGAAACATAAGTATAAGTAATTTATATGAAAATACATCAGTTCAATTTAATTTTCGTCATCAATAGGAGTGATTAAGTCCTGGGTTTTGTTTCATCGTGTTTCATTTGTAATCGTGTTTTGTTTCAAATTTTTTAAATAACTGTGGTATATTGGGGGTATATAATTAAGCAAGTCCATCATGTCTTTGTATTTTGCTGAAGAAACAGGACGAGATCCAGCGTATAACGGATCCATTTCTATTTATGAATAACACCTAGGTCTTCCTCTTTTTGGTGACAAATCCAAAGTTAGAAATTCATCTTTTTCATCTAAAGTTTCGCACTTATAAAAATAAGTCCAGTGATCACAACTTTTTTAAAAATACTGGAAATAATTCAAAACAATACTTCACACACACTTATCACACGTTTCTATATCTTTTACACTAAGCCCCGCAATTAATTTCCTGAGTACAGCGACTTACGCCACTTTCAAGATAAACATGTTTGTTATACCGTTAATTAGCAAAACTTCTCTCGAACAAATCTCAATAGTTCTCAACTTATTGATTGCAAATTTTTTAAAAATGAGAAGGTACCGTTCAATTGTAATTAGTGTTACCATTAACTCGATTTTTTTGAAAAAGTGACTTATGCCACTTTCAAAATAAACGGCTCATTTTTAAAAGATATTTTCAGTTTATTAATCATTATCGCATTGAGATATAATCAGAATCGCATCGAAATATCATTGTTTGGTGATCCAAACGCGTTGTGTTATCTGGCCAGTCCATAGAATCGAGGCTCAACCGAGGTTCCCGACAATACGATTCGCACGATTGTTGTTCATAAGTGCGTTTATCCGTGTTCGCAGTAACGCAGGGGCTAGAACAATGAGAATCAACGAAGGAAATCCTGTGGCGACCGCTGCGTTTTCTTCGGAACCGATGACCACTTCCACCGGAAGCCCGGACGACGATTATCCGGCGAATTCAGAACTTCCCCTTCCTCTCACGACACTCTCCGTCGAGGATTGTGTTTACAAAGGCGAAGGGAATGCTAACATCGTTATTGGACTCCCGCAAGTAAGTCGATAAACCTTGTCCTGTATCTGTTTGAATAAGTAAGCAAAACTATTCCTGCTAGGTTTTCGACACTAACCCTTTGCACCTGAAACTATTTTCACGCTAAATACGTTACGTTGGATATATCGTTGTTGCAGATCACTTTTAGTTGTATTTTACTGATATATGTAGTACTTTGGAACAGAGTATTACTTATAGTCTATGTAATACGTTTTACTACATTGGAAATTAATCAGTAGACTGCGGATTTTATGCATTTATGGCTTATGCCATACGGAATCTAAAATAGTGGAACAGTTAAAAGAATTTATAAAATGTCAATGTATTATTTTTGATTTACTAAAATGACAAAACTTGCTATCTAGGATCTATTCTTTACAATTGAAGCAGACGATGTTTATTTTTCATAAAAATCTGCAGTCTCGTAATAAACTAGGATATTATATTTAGTGATGTCGATGTCTGTTTATACCGAAATACATTTGAATAAGTATGCACAGTTGAACACATCCCAGGACGTAACGTGGATATTTTTTAGACGTCGTGTGCTATCTGGGATAAAGTACAGAAAAATAATGTCAAATATAGTGGTACTGTTTTGTGTTCTGTACACGTTGAGTTAATATTAATTATATAATTTAATATATTCTGACATGAATAGGAGCTCCTACAGATAAATGAAACTAAATGTTTTAAATAGGAAAGAATGACTTTCATTATACTTGAGATTTATTTAGATTTTCTATAGAGTACTTAAATAATCAAAATAAAATTATTAAGGGAGTGAAATTGTTAACATTATTAAAAATTTCCACCGTACAAAACGATTCATATTGTATAATTCACAATTTGTCTATAACACGTTCGTATAAGAACGGTCATATTATTGAACCTTTCGCTTAGTTTGTTCCAATTGTTCAAACGCATACTTACGAACGGTAGCGTAGATCAACATCCTATACATTCATAATTAGTATAAGTTGCTCGTTACCAATCTAAAATACTCATCAATTTCCACTCGCAATCATTTCCTGATATCGTAAAATAATATCTATAATGGAAAAACATACCTCGTCGAATCTGCTGCTACTTTTTCATTTGTATTCGTCATAAGTTCCCGACATCCCACGTCATTTTTAAACAGCAAAAACACATCTAGTCGATTTACTACACTTGTCCATTTGCATTCGGCATCACATTTCGTGCACAATCGCTTCCGTTTTCCTTCCTCAGATAGTCTCGTTGAATATAATTATACCGTTCATGTCTAACGCAGGAAATTTCCGATTGAACTATAACGGTGCATTTATAGTTCACATTCAACAAAGTAAATTATCGCGATAATTTCGAGGTGAGATATCGTATAAGGTTATTTATTCGCCGGATGTACCAGTCAAAGTCGTACTATTCCTCGACGTGTATACTTCAAAAACATTTAATTGTATTATTATTTTTGAGACGCTAACAATTTGAAATTTACTAACTTTACTGCAACATTTATATTCCATCAACTATTTACAACTATTAAGAATCGTTTATCGGTTATCAGTTGGTACAACCATTTCTTGATAACCCCATTCTTCTTCTATCGCATAGGAGCTGCTCACGAAAATACTTTCATCTTAATTATTTGATACATTGTATAGAATGTTAGTTTTCTTCTTTAATATTCATTTAAACAATTCCTTCAACAATCGTATTCACGATTGTCGTCGAATATTTTTCGTTAGAAATAGTGGTACAGTAAATTCCCCCCAATTTTCCTCCAGCTTGTAAACATAAATGGACAATTTGAGAAGAGGATTACTGCCTTGCGGCTCGTTTTTATAGTTACCGATTGTCGACAACTATAGAAACGAGCCGCAGGGCTGGAATAATCGTACCTCCTCTCCCCAAATTGCCCATTTTTGTTTCCAAACTGAGCGTCAAGTAGGGAGAATTTATTGTATGTAGAAATCATTTTCCAACTTGCAATTTTTTATATAAAAAGACTATTTTCTATGAGAATACACAATTTTTCTTCAAATTCTCCCTAATTGATCCTCAGCTTGTACACAAAAATGGACACTTTGGGAAGAGGATATTCGAGTCTCGCGGCTCATTTTTATAATCGCCGATTGTCAATAATTATAAAAACGAGGTGCAAGGGTCGAATAATCGTATTTCTTCTTTCCAAATTGTTCATTTTTGTTTACAAGCTGAAAGAAAATTGGGGAGAATTTACTGTATAATCAAATAATTACTACAAATAATTTATCTTCGATCAATGTGTATTTAAAATCCGATATGGTACATTCAATTGATGTTGTTAACTAAAATTAATACAATATATAAAGAAACAATTGCGATGATTTTCCTGTTTTACTACCAAAAATCATAAATAAATTACGGAAGTTGTCAATCAAGAAAATACAATTACGAAAGACGTAGTAAAATTGTTCAAATTTTGGTTACATCTGTTCTTACTATTATATTAACAATTTTGTTAATTTTATCACAGATTTCAATGTGATCGGGGTTTTCGGTTTCATTAGTGGTATGAGATGAATGAAAAACACATATAGTCATCGTACACCCTTCAAAACGAAGTAACTTTTTTTAGAAGTGGACCACATAAAAATTTGTTTTCATTTTATAACCGACAGAAATTGTAAATAATATTACGAATACCTTTTACAAACTTTTTATTCGAACCTATATCGAAAATTTATAGGAAAATTTCTTCAACAAATTTTGTATATGTCAGCACAGATAAAATAAATCTTCTAACGTCTTAAAAAGATTTAAATAGTTTAGACCAAGTTTTAAAAACTTGTTACAAAGCGCATGGAGATCTTTGTGACGTATACACGTACTTTTATAATCAGTGTAATGTATTGCAATGAACGTGATGAAACATATTTTCCCTCTTTTCACTAACAGATGCCTCTACATACAATGATTGCGGTACCTATCGTACTCGGAAGTGTATTCGATGGTAATGTACTAAACCCGCTGTGTATCTGACAGAAAAAACTTCTGTTTGGCTCGTGTCTTCTGGATTGCATCTCGTGAACACATATTTGCGGTAATTCTTCCAACAGTCGTTAAAATCGAAATTGTTTGTTACGTTAAATAATTCTGACAGCAGTTACGGTCGCCGTATTTCGCAATTCACGTTCCTCCGGAAACTGACTGCTTTATTATGGTGTATCGGAGACGGCAGACTATTATTACGTCGCTGTCGTTGCTTCAATATATTCTTTTCTTTGTGATACTGAAAATATAATTTATTGGCAGAGCGAGTAGCACGTTTACGCTGTCCGCTTATTCAAATGGGTCATTTGATTCGCAGGGAAATCAATGTTCCTAGCTGATGTCATAGCCGCGAGTTCTTCATTGAATTGATGCACGCTGGCAACACGTTTAACGCGCAACCTTATTAACGGAACTTACCTTGGTTTCCACGTGATACGCGAATTTCTTGCGAACATCTGTTTGTTTCGAACTCGTGACCATGCTACAAACAGTTTGCGCCTACGGTAAATACGTGATTTAATTACCGGCAAATTAACGACCCACGTGTCCTATAGTTCTCGTTAATGTCCGTCAATCGTACCTGAATAATGTATCAGAAACACACGTTTCTGTGAACGACAGTTGTGCAACTGCAATCGTGTAACTGTCCGAAAGGTAATGTTACCCTTCTGATTAAGGTTGGATAAGAGGATGCCCACCCTTCCGAAGGTGAAGAGTTGAGGCTACACTGCTCTATACGTATTTGTTCCATTGTCGTGTGCAGTATCTATTTTAGCATTAGGTTTACGAAGCATTGAAAGCAACTATTTTATATGACTCGATAAAAAGAATAGAAATTTATTGAATAAATTCTGCATAAATCTAGCTTTTCGATCTCAATAGTCGCAAATTAAACACTTTTGAACCCTTCATTTTGACGGGTCCCGTGGACCTAATGTTAAGAACTTGTGCTCTAGCAGATTAATACAGTTTTGACCTGTGTTCTGTGGACTCTCAGAAATCTAGAATAAGATGACGTAGTTTAGTGTTACATTAATAAGACAAATATATATTTAAACCATATCTAAAATGGTAGAGACAGTGCTGTAACAACAGCCGATACACAGCCAACGTAATACTAATCTTAGAATATGTAGCTGAAGCAATCATAGATCTAATTTATTGTATGTATAACCCAGATTCCCACAATTTTATTATCACTTTTAATTCGAATACAGCTTTCTCAGCCACAAAACATATAATCGAGTTTGAACTAGGTCTAGGCTAGGTCTGGGTTAGTTGGACAATGATTACCATATATCCTACAGTGTATGACGCATAGATAACAATATCAGAGATGTAAGGAAAGATCTAGAAATTGTATAATACATTTTATTCGAAGTATGTATTCGTTTTTGTATCTATGAAACTAAAAGATAGCAACGATTATGTGACGTGAACATTTACCTGGAACCACTTTGTAAATAATGATTTTGGTGGAAAATGTATCAGATAAAAGTTAAACGGTTACAAGGAAAACGTAATTTGAAATTGTTGGTCTTTTGTACGTGGAAGAACGAAGGCCATTTAAAAGTAAAGTTTTTTCTTTCAAATGGAATAATATATTTTTCAATGTACTGCTTGATAATGTTTGCAATACTCTATAAAACGTACCGAATCATTTATTTGAACTATTCATTAAAAGCAATTAATTCAGCAAATATTTCATTTTAAATATTTCTTGAATGTGTTATTTATCATTCTGTTGCAACTACCATCCGCATAAATTAAGGTATGTAGACTATAAAATAAATATTTTAACCCTTTCCTTTTAATTATTATTTTTTTTATGATGTAAGGTAATCGTGTGAAATACATAAAAACACAATATCGTTTATTTACTATTTTTTATAAAATTTCAGAGCAGTATGATTTTTATTTCAATTCGATTTTGCACAGAAAAATCACAATTTTTGCAAAAGTTGCACTGAGTTTTCCTTCTTCTTTTTTATTTAAGCTAGGAACCCTCGACTCCATTAATAAGTTTAAATAGTCACACATCCACATTTACAGCTGAATTTGTTGCAATCAAGATTACTGTTGATCTTGCGTCCAAGTGTTCACAGGATAACGTTTTCATTTATTCCAACTCTTCAAGCGCTTTTCAATCCCTAAGTACTAGATCGATTAATGCTGAAATCAATCCTTTTCTATCAGATATTTTGAAAAACAAAGGTTCCTGGGAAGTATGTCAGAAAAATCTTCCGACTGCCAAAGGTTAAGTTCATTCCTATATGAATACAGTAAAACTTAAAACTTCAGAACAACAAACTCATCATACTGGTCTTTATCTTTATTGAAATAATTTAAGAAAATAAAGTAGAAGTATATACTTGAATCGCGGAAAGGTCAGTTTGATCTGTGAAATGATGAATTTGATTTGTGGATAGGTGACTTTGGTTTGCAAAAGGATAAATTTGATTTGCAAAATAATCAATATAATTTGCAGAAGGATGAACGAGGAGAGAAATACTAGTGATCATTACAGTAAATTCTCTCCAATTGTCCCTCAGCTTGGGAACGAAAAATGGACAACTTGGGAAGTGGAGATACAATTATTCGCGTAGTCGCCGATTATCAACAAATATAAAAACGAGGTACAACGTGAGAGAAATTACTGTATTGAAAAATTGACGATAACATCGTACATATACTATTTAGTTAGCAAAATTTTCTGATAATCGTTATCCTTTGCATGTAACTACCATCATTGTTCATTCTCGAACCGAGTATACTCCTTCACTGAAAAAACGTTCGGAATACAAACGTCCACAGGGTTCAACTATAATCAATCTTCCCCACATTCCTTGTAGAGACGTTGACCCTCCCGACTCGGAAAAGAAAATCGCGTCGTGGACACGCTCGGAAAGCCCGTGCGATTTCAATGACGTCGTTTTGTTTCATCGAGTCGTCACAAACAGTCCGAAATCCTCGCGGCGCGGCGTTTTTTCGCGACGGTCCGTGGGCTGATCCCAGGGCGAGATACGTGACTGGAATCGATGATGAAGAGCACGTAAAAGATGAGACGAACGTCGCCGAAAGTGAGCAGAGAGTATTGTAATAAGATCGAGCAGAGGCGCGGCTGTAACCGTGCCGGAATAACGAAAACGAATCAGCTCCTATACAGGATCTACCGAACGAGGCGCTTTCTATGCAAGATCCACTTAGATTCGGCGAACAGAAAAAAATATTTCCGGCGGACGTAACTCCTGGAAATCCGGGAAGGACCCCGCGAGCAGAAAGGATGGCAGCTGGCGAGTACGTAATAACATTACTTTGTAAGGAAATACGAATCATAGCAAGACCCGTCGCGTCGTCGAATAAGAATCCATCCGAGCAGGTTCTTTCGAACCGGTGACGACTTTCATTTGTCGTTTTTAGGGAAGATTTCTTCTCTGGAATGACCGTTACGTTGGCGGAAGCGCGTATATACGTGCTCTTTTAGATTCGCATATTCTCTGTTTGAGCAAGTACGGAAAATTTTAATTTGCAAAGCAAATTATCCGATCTCAGATTGATTTCCCCGGGATTTTAATAACCGTTGTAAAGTAAAGAGATGTGAAAATACAGCTAATTCCGTTTCACCTGGTAGTCAGGTACCTGGAAATATCGTGCGTATTCAATTTGTTTACGTTTCATATTTCGAAAATTGATGCGTGATGTCGTACCTAGTAAAAAATAATACATTCTTTTCAGACGGATCGTATCCAATTAATTATCGAACTAGACTTTGTTGGATGATTGATTGATTTTCGTACGAACTTACGGGAACGGTTATATACAAATATATTGCAGCATATAAAACGTAAATTACGTAACGAAAAGTAAGTTCTATTAGATTTTTAATAGTTAGAAATTTTAAATTATAATATATTTTTAATAGAAATTTAAATTTTAGTATGTTATTAATTGAACTTTAATTTGAAATTTTAGATTGCAATAGATTTTTAATAAAAATTAGGAAAACTGTGGCTAGATGTTTAAATAGACGTCTTGTAAACTACGTTGAATTAAAATGAATTATGTAGATGTTAGATTTTTCTCCTGAACAAAATAGTGTAAACAAAATTGTGTAAACAAAATCTGTGTATTGTATTGCAAATATTAAATTCAGGACGCAAACATTAAATTAAGGATTTAAAAATTAAGTTGTAGAGATCTAAATATTAAGAGATTAAAAAATAGAAATAGAAATATTAAGAGATCTAAAAATTAGTTTTTATATGAAAAGAATTTGCTTAGGTACAAAAATCATACAGTTGATTACGATTAAACCGTAGCAAATTCAATTTCTGATGAGTTACTTTGACTTTTCCAACTCGAATGAAGTATTTAATTTAATTTCGCCCGTATTTTCACGGTATATTAATATGTAAAGTAGATAGTAATAAATTCCGGAGTTTAATTCTCATGGAACTTCCGTTTTTAATGTTTTGACACGATACACCACGGTACATTTCCATGTTGCATGCAAAACCGAGGCAATTATTATCGATTTATTAATATTTAACGTCAGCTGATAACATTACAGTTTATCGCTGCATCGGCGTGTCATTTTATTCTAAAGCACCGGTAAAATATTTTTCATGGCATCCTGCCATCAGTTGTGTATACCTTATTGCGTATTATCGTCGCATTGCAATAAGACACACTTATCTTTTTGCGTTTGTGTTCCACGACCCCGCGGGAAGGTCAAACTAAATAAAAAAATAGACATCTACAGTCAAGGAATGTGTTACAATATCTTGCAGATATACCTTGAAAAAAGCGGAACGTTTCTTTTGAATATTAACGTATGTTATGTGAACACTTGAATATATCTGTGTTGAACATTTCCGATACTTTCCCGACGTGTTTCGGGCGAAATTTTCGGCATCGCTAGCTATTAACAAATACGATTTCGAAAATATTTACTTGATTCATTTTTCAATGAATATTTTCTTTCCAAATCTTTGCCTTCAAAAATCGAAAACGCAAATGACAGTAAGATAAGTATTATATACGTATACATTTTACGCGTAAATGTATACGCTAAACAAGATATTTTTCCGACAATTCTTTAACAAACTGGATAGCCATGTCGTGAAATTCGTAGGATGTTCTATTGAAGTAATAAAACAGATTTGAATTTCTTAATACTAATCCATGTTATTATAGAGCGTAAATATTATAATATAATTCGTTCGGATTTTTCATCGAAATAAAACTTGGTATGCTATGTTTGTAACATTTCTGTTATATTATTATAGCTAATAAAAGAATATAGAATTGACTAGCAAATATCTCTCAGCTGCCGTTTACTGCCGAAAATACGATTTTTGATATAATTCATAATTGATGTGAAAGCATCGTCAATCGATTGAAAATGTTTTTCAGATGAAAATGAGTTTACAATATATATATACAAAATCTGATAATATCATCCAGTCGATGATTGCCAGATTTCATTTCAGTCTCATCAACGATACGTTCGAAATAAAATGCAACTAACTCAATTTGTTGCTCAACTATCGTATAAATATATATGCAATAAATGAATAAAAACCACTGTTCTATAACTTTTCTAACAAAAAGAATTAGTTCCAATTTCGGTATAAGTTCTCTTTTCACATCAAAAATTAGAAATTGGATTTTTGACGTTTCGACGCGGTAGAAAAGAATTCGAAAAAATCACTGAAAGTAAATTACAACTATTCGTTATTTGCTAGTTCTGTCAATGGTCCCTCACCTTTAGAAAAAACATTATTTGATATAAATGGTAGGTAGGCACCTTGACTCCTATTAATATTCAGACAGAATAACTTGAAAAGTGGACAAAATAATTTGTATCTTTTTGAGATGTTAGAGCGAGTAGTTTACTAGGCAATAACTGCACAAGTTTTGTTAACAATTGCAATTGGTTGAAATGAAAAAGAGAATAAGAAACTCGAATTTATTAACCTTTT